TCTTCGTGCAAATGCACGGGTTGATCACTAGTATATATTATTGCTAGCTAAGCAATAAATTTTACCTAATAAATAAAACCTATTTAATTTTACCTAACAAATACCTCATTAATCTTTAGTCTTAATAAATGATAGAGGAAAAAGAAAAAATAAAAACATAATGGTGTATTGATGTGTAATTAAGTCGGAGGGCAATATGGTAACTTTTTTAACATAAAAATTGTTACACTATATTATTATTATTATTATTATTATTATTATTATTATTATTATTATTATTATTATTATTATTATTATTATTGTTACATTAATTCACTATATCCCATTAAAGATAAAAATTTCTTGCACTTTATTAATTAAGACAAAATTTCTCACTTATTAATTAATTAAATAATAATTATATTTTTTATTATATAATCTAATAGTTATATTAAGATTAATAATTATATTTTACGCTAAATGATAAATGAAAGTTACATAAACATAAGAAATTATATCGTAAAAATTTTGTGTTCAAATGATTTATTCTAAAATCAATATTATATTTTTTATTAGATTAAGCAATTGTTATTCAAATAAATTAATTTATCTTAATGTCATAGTAAAATTTCTTAAAACCACATAAGAAATTTTAAAATAAGTTTAATATTTTAATTTTCTGCTAATTAATTGGCCGTGCTCCCTCAGAACTACAAAATACGTTATTTATTACATTTTATGCAATCAATATAGTGATTCGTCTGCAATAAAATCATTATCTACTATTTATTTTTACCAAGATCAAATTTTAAAACATAATGCCAATATCTAACTTATAATTTTATTATTTTATGCATATATATATATATATATATATATATATATATATAATACTTTGTGTTTGAAATTTAATATTATTATCTAACTTATAATTTTAATATATATGCATACAAATAACTTATAATACTTTATTTATATCTGTGCAAATGGACAGTGTCAAATACTAGTTGTTCCTTAGACTATCTTTATTCATAACTCAATCCAACCCAACTCAACCCAATTCTTTTAATAAAATACTCATTTCTCTCTCCTCCACTTATACAACCCACAACACAATTCTATTTCTACTTTTATCCATGACACCAACCCAACCTAATATTTTTTCTTTTCACTTTATTTTTAAATAAAATTACATATATTAATTTGTATTAAATTAAAAAATAACAAAAATATATAATTATAATGCAAAAATATTACCGTTCATTTAAATAATCGATATTTAACTTAACAATAAAATAAAAAATATAAGAGTTGAAATATAAAATTAGAAATAAATAAACTGAGTTACAAATAGTTGCATAAAATTACAACAGAAGTGAAAATTATATATTTAATTACGAGTTCCGAATTTTTCCCATATGTGCTCAATCAAATCATTTTGAAGAGAACGATGAGCTTCTCTGTTGCGAAGTTGATCCCTATTGATCATATAAGCAGATAAACTCGAAATGCGTTGTGTAGAGTAGTTGAGTTCAACATCTTGTGATTGGACTCTGGTAGGTATATCCGTAAGAAATTCTGTGGGATCATAATAGTTTTGGTATGTGTCTCGTTCATCCTCCACTATCATATTGTGCATAATGATACAAGCCATCATTATTTTTCCCATCACTTCCTTATCCCAAACGAGACATGGACGTCGAAGATATGCAAAACGAGCTTGTAAAACTCCAAATGCTCGCTCAACATCTTTTCTAGCAGACTCTTGTTGTTGAGCGAACAATTTGTGTTTTTGGGTCTGTGGAGCTGTTATTGACTTGACAAATGCAGTCCACGAAGGATATATGCCGTCAGTGAGGTAATATGCTCTATCATATTGACGACCATTCACTTTATAACTAACTTTTGGTGATCGACCTTCTAACACATCAGTAAAAATAGGAGATCGGTGCAATACATTAATATCATTGCACGAACCTGGTGTTCCAAAGAACGCATGCCATATCCATAGATCATATGATGCAACAACTTCCAAAATAATTGTTGGAATTCTATCTCTCCCTGTATATTGCCCAGCCCACGCAGTGGGACAATTTTTCCATTTCCAATGCATGCAGTCAATACTACCAATCATGCCTGGAAAACCACGTAATTCCCCAACATGGAGAAGCCTTGTCAGATCCTCTTCATTAGGCCTTCTCAGATACCTTTCACCGAAGCAGGAAATGACTCCATCGATAAAATGTAAAAGGGACTTTCTTGTCACAGCTTCACTCATTCGTAAGTATTCATCAACAACATCAGATGATGCCCCATATGCAAGCACCCTCATTGCTCCAGTACATTTTTGTAGGGGTGAAAGGCCTCGTCTTCCTGTGGCATCACGCCTTTGTTGAAAATATTCATTATTTGCTGAGATGGCCTCCACTATACGAAGGAATACCGATTTATGCATGCGAAATCTCTGTCGAAACATCTCTGGACTGTATGTCGGCACCTCCACAAAGTAGTCTTTCATTAAACGCTCCTCACCAATCTCACGTTCTCTATTACAATACCTCCTTCTCCTTCTGGTTGTTGGCATTGGAGTGCCTACAATCAGATTAGGATTGTGTATGATTATATCTTCAATGATCCTATCAATTTGATGATTGTGTTGTCTTGCTCGTTCTTCCCATTCATTATATTCAGGGATGTGGAAAGAACTAGAGCTAGAATCTGAATCAGTTGAAGAGTTTTCATTTTGAGACATTTTGTAAATTTTGGGCACACTTTCAAGAAACAAAGATAAAATAGCTAATGTAGAGAATTTTGTGTGATGTTCATTGTTTGTTGTGTTTTTGTCCTTATTTTATTGTGTTTTATGTGTTTTATTTTGTGGTTTTTAGGTCCGTTTTTAGGCTCGATCGGTCCATTTTGTCGTGTTTCGTATATTTTTGCTCTTGTATAGTGTTTTCGTATTTTTGCGCGTTTTCTCTTTTGTTTTGGTGTTGAATAGGTCCAACGAGTTGAGAACGAGGAGATGAGCCATCCGAGCCGTCCAACCCGGAAAATCCGACCAAGCCATACCGGGACGAAGAGAATTCAATTAGAAGAATTTTGGTCCAAGTTTCGTGCGAATCGGAGTTGTGTACGAGAAGATAGAGCGAAACGAAGTCGCACATAACCGAGACCAAGCCATGGCAGCCCAGCCCGCGAATCGCATTCCGCGCCCGCGAATTCCAGCTATCCCGCGAGTTCCCAGCCAAGTGCTGTCCAGTGCCCGCGAATTCAAGTTCGCGCCCGCGAAAAGCCTGCAGCCCGCGAGTGTTCCTCATGCAGCGCCCCAGCCCATGAGTTTCTTCATTTCGCGCGCGCGAACGAGATCTAACCCGCGAGTTCCCGGCCAGCAGCGACCTAGCCTGCTAGCGTGTTGCATTTCCGCGAGCGCGAATTCCCCAGCGAGTTCGCGAGTTTGTTCCTTTCACGCCCCGCGCGCGCGAGATGTTCTGCGACCTCGCGAGTTCCGCCCTGTTGTACCCACGCCTTGTGCCTAGCTCTCGACCTCGCGGATTTCGCAGCTAGCTCGCGAGTTTTTTTAGTAAATGTGCATGTTTTAGTGTGTGTTTTGTGGTGTAGTTATATAAAGACATCTTGCTTTGTATTTTTGGAAACAACTCTCATTTTCCAACTTTTAAGTTGGGAAAATCCTCTCTATTTTCCTTTTCTTTTTTTATTTTGGTTTGGAGCTTTATGAATCAAGTTTTCCGGCGAACTTCCGGCGACATTGTTTTGAGCAAAGTTTCAAGCTTTTGATTCCGTTTCTTCTCCCGAGTGCATGTTGGAGTGGGTAACTTAGTCTTAAGCCCCATTACCTCGTATATCTTTATTGCTTTGGTAAATTGATATTGTGCTTGAGATTTTGGAAGAAAAGATTGTTGCTTTGGATCATGAATGTTTGACTATGTGTGGTAGGAGTTGAATTCTTGCTCGATTCATGCTAGAGTTTGATTTGACTTCCTAGGTTTTTTAGCGAACATGGCAATGGTTGGATTTTTGCGTGCTTTTGATCATGATGACTCCGGTGAACCAAAATCCCTTTTCCCCCCTTGATCTCTCTAATCTTCTTGCGTGCTTTACTTGCTTTCGATTTCAATTTCGTAGATTAGCTTAGCTTAAATCAACCCTCAATTCAAGCGATTAGCATGTTTAGGATGTTTTCGTTTGTGTGACTTTGACGACTAGGTAGTAACCGAAGCTCCGAATAGCCTTCCTTTGAGAACGACCCGAGGCCGGGTAACTCGGTTACCAATACCCAAAAATTTACTCAACATTCATTGTAATGCAGATCATATATATAGAATATATTTGAACAAAGAAAGAAGATATAAATTATATGTGAATAAAGTGAGTGCATGCAATTATTTACCGACAAGATATAAATTACATGTGAATAAAGTGATTGAGTGCATGTGAATTGTCTGAGTGCATGTGAATAAAGTGAGTGAATGTGAATAAAGTGAGTGCATGCAATTATTTACCGACAAGATATAAATTACATGTGAATAAAGTGATTGAGTGCATGTGAATTGTCTGAGTGCATGTGAAGAAATTTTGGATCGTAGCTAACATTATTTCCGACAAGTCCATGTGAACAAGAGGTGTAAAGAGGGTAATAAAGATAGATGTTGACATATCATAAATAATTGCATCTGAATTGAAAGATACGTTAGATTACACAAACTAATTTATAAACATACATAAAAATACCCAAGCTTAAAGACACAGTACATTCATTCTCCAAATACAATTGCCATAAGCTTGCATTTTGTCTCCTCATCTGCTGGAGACAAATGTTCTTTTGCTAACAAGGTATTCAACATTTTTCTTTCATCTTCATCCTTGAGGCCTGCAACTTTTCACGCTCTAATTCCATTTTAGCATTAAACACACTCTTCATTGCCTCCGTTTCGTTGTCCCTGGAAAGTCTCAATGCACGAATTTATGCAACAAATTCATTAGAGAAATCAGATTGTGGCATCTTACCTTTTCCTTTTTTTTTTCGCCTTATCTCTACCAATAGGATGGGAAGGAGTGGAACATCCGGTACTTGGAGTTTCTTGAAAGGAAGGCCTAGGATACTCTGCATCTTCGGAAGCCCTTGATCTTTTGCTGCTTCCACCACTTTCTTCGTCATTACCCTCTTCATCTTCAGGACGAAAACGAGTTTTATCCTGAAGCGGTATCAACTCCCACTTTGGATGTTTACACATAACTTCATTGAAGACAATCGAATCCTGAAACTTGCTACCACCTGCTTTATAAATTCTATGAGCTTCGTTCTCAACATCCTTGTCGGTCATTCCACTCCTTTTCCGAACACACGCTTCCTTGTAAGCAGCCATCCACTTGTTTGCATTTTCATTAAGCCGTTTCCACCGACCTTTCATTGATTCAATATTTCTTTCGTTCAGCTCATCCGGCTTTTCTGCTTGGTGTTCGTGATACAGATTGTGCACACGAGCCCATAGCGAGACTCCTTTTTGATTTCTGCTACGTATGTTATCTTCGCTAACGAAGATCCACGATGACATAAGAGTTATATCTTCTTTCACACACCAATTATTTTTGGTCCCCTTTAGATTTTTGTTAGGACGTTGAACATTTTCAAACAAATTGCGGGAAATTTTTCCTGATGTGGGCACATCTTGAGAGGTGTGAATTTGACTAAGATTTGGAGAATTTTGATAATATTGAGAACTATGATCATATTCGGAGTTTGGAAATTGTTGAGAATTCGGATATGGAGCAAAATTTGGATAATTTTCGGAGTTGGGTAAGTTGTCTGAGTTTAGATAGTTTTGGGAGTTGAAAGAATAATTTGGATAGTTTGGATCCATAACCTCAAATGAAGAATAGAGAGAAAATATAGAACAAGAAATGTGTGAAGAAAAGAGATGTTGTATTTGGTTGTGAAAGTGTATCAATATTATACTCTATTTATAGAGAAAAAAAAATATGAATTTTAATATAATTTTTATTTATTTTTTTATTTAAAATTATTTACAATATTATTAATTTAAAAACATAACAAAAAAAAAAAAAAATACAACCCACCACATGCTGCCAAGTGGCAGTAGGTGGTTCATTCATAAATGGGTGGCCAACCGACTTAGGTTGATGACTCTGTGGGACAAAATTCAATTTATTTTTATTTTTTATTTTTTATTTTTTTTTTTTGTCCTATCTCACGTCACCACCCTAGTGGCATTAATAAAGATGGTAACTAGCGTTGATAATAAAACCAAGTTATTACTCTGATTTTGACACTAGTTAGAGCATGTTTGTTTATAAAAATTTTCAAAAAAATTCTCACACTTTAACTCAATCACTTTTTTTAACTCAACTTTAACTCAATCACACTATCATCAATATTATCAATATAATTAAATAATATCAATCAATCATTCATACACACCACATCAACCTTAATCCACTATTCATCTACTCACATAAATTTAACTAACCATCACATCACATCTTATCTCTCCTACTTTTACATCATTTTAATTTTAATTATTTTATTTTAAATATTATTTTAATAAATCCACTAACAACTAACCATACCACCTTTTCAAAATTAACCAAACCAAATCAAAAAATCCAAACAAACTCAAAAAATTTCATAAACAAACATGCTCTTAGTGATTGTCAAATTTTAATTAGGCTGCTGTCACAATAAATTCTGTTCGGAAGTAAATTATATTTTTCTTTTTTTTTTCAAAATAATAATTAATAAACATGTAGTCATTGGTAGATGGCTAGATGCATAGATCTTTTGGTGGAATTGTAGCTAATGTACTCGGATATTGTGGGAATTTGTCACTATCTACTACTATACGTGTCCAAAGCTCGGCCCGTCCAGGACCCAGCTCGGGCTGCTGGGTCGGCGGGCCTCAAATGCTGGTCCCAGAACCAGCCTGGTGATATCTAAGGACAAGTTCAAATGGACCAGCCTGACCATTGAACCACCTGCTTTTTATATATATAAAAAAAAGTAATAAAATCAACTACGACTCGCCTTTCGACCCGAAATTGGCGGATAAAAAAAGAAAAATTAAGGCCCGGAACCAGTCTTTAAAGGCTAAATGTCCAGTTCAAAAACTGGTAACTCCAGGCCGGTCCGGGCCTGTTCCGGCCTGGTCACCGAGCCGGTTCGACCCTTGATCATGTCTATCTATTACCAACAAAATCAATAGCTACTTTATATGAATTCCACTTGAAACAGTAACTCGTAAGTCCTAAGCAGACGAGAAGGATGCCACTACATTGATTAATCGGTAGAGTATTTGTATTGGCTTCTTTAGTTTCAATTTAAAATTTCACTTTTCCAGTTTTAATTTTTTAAAGCGAAAATTTCAATAATAAAAAAAAAAATGATTTGCCTAAATTAACGAATTAAATGCCGCGCTCAATAAATGATGATGGGCCACGCAAAATGTAACAAGCAAGATTCAATGATATATGCAGTTGGGCAACCTTTTTCTTAAAGCAAAGTTTAATATTTACATGTTTTTTGGTTGGAAACAAAGACTCTGAAAAGAAGCGTAAAACCCGTGACCTGAAAGCGTTATTGAATGAGTCTGAGTCAAATAAATTTTAGAAGACCATCACATCGGGTGGGTTATTTATTTAAAAAAAAAAAAAAATTAAGTAGACAAAAATAAAAAAAAAAAATTGGATAGAAAAAAATCAAACACACGTATTTTGGGAATACGTTTTTCTAATTAAAATTAATTAAGAAAAACGTATTCCTATAATACGTTTTTATTTTTTTCCTAAATTAAAAATATAAACACAAAATTCCTTTAATATTCGAATATAAAAAAAATAATAAATATAAAACGTATTTTCAAAATACGTTTTAAGGTAAATATATTTCTACAATACGTTTTTAAATAACGAAAAACGTTTTTAAACTGACTTTAACCGTATTCTCGGAATACGTTTTTTGACTAAAAAAAACTGTCGGTAACCGTATTCTGGGAATACGTTTTTTGACTAAAAAAAATTGTCGGTAACCGTATTCTCGGAATACGTTTTTTGAATTAAATATAAAAAAAAAATTTCTTCCATTTCATTTGCGCAGAGAGCAGAGAGAGAGCAGAGAGAGAGAGCAGCGAAGTGAAAAGAAAAAGAAGCGAAAACAATCGGAAAAAAAAACTCGATCTAATTCTCACCCCGGCGTGAACCGACAACAACGACACGAGACTCCTTTCCGGTTAATTCATTCGCACGAGGTATATTGGCTTATCTTAACTTTTTACAATGTTTGGAGTTGTTTGGAGATTGAGAATTGTTATAATATGTTTGAATGTGTTAGTGTTTGAAGATTGTAAATTTCTAATTGATTATCGATTATGTATGTATGTTAAATTCGAGATTGGAATTTTGTGTGTAAATTATCAAATTTGTATTGTTTGGTTGTTGTTGGGGTTAGGGTTTTTGGAAATTAGGGCTTTTAATTTATCCGAATTATAGATAAATTTGATGTTATTGTTCGATATTTTTTTTTTTTTTGGTTGGAGTAATAAAATGTGTTTTAATATTTAGACATTATTTTGTTGTAATTTGTAAAATATAAATTTTTTTGTGCAACAGGTTATAAATGGCGTCTACCGGTCCCTACATTGTTAATGTGTACTGAAAAATTCCTAAGAGTGAGTTAGGAAATTTTTCGAATTATTTGGCTAGTCCGGATTGTTCATTTGTTCTTAATAGAATAATGTCATATGAACAATTGGTAGATATGATTTACGAAAATGGTGGATTTCGTGATAGTTGGACAATTTCGGATATTAGTTTGATGGTCAAACAACCGGATGGTTCGTTTCTTCCCCCAAGACTGAATAATGATGGTACTCTTTCGTGGATTTACTACTATCCTTCTATGTCCTTTGTGTTTTTGTATATTGTGTTGGAAGCAAACACACAGGTTACACATGTTGAGGATCCTACGCCATCATATGGTTATGGGGGAATGTTTGGTTGTGAGGGTACGTGGAGTACGCATGCCGGTAGTTTTGGTGAAGGGACGAGTAATTTTGGCGAAGGGACGAGTAATTTCGGCGAAGGGACGAGCTTTACCATGAGAGGACCGGACATTGAGGAAGAAATTGTTGGAGATGAAGATTTCAGTCCCGGTGAAGACGATTTAACTGATGAGACCTCAGAAACCGAATCAGACAGATCAATTAATGGGGAAAGCGAACAAGAATTCATTGAAGAACACCCCTTTCCAAATGAAGGCCTCCACGTATATCGCGGCGAGATGGGTGAGTGGGACCCGTCGTGTGTAGACAGGGACGAGTATGCCTTGCCACTTTGCTGCCACTGCGTATGAGGACGACGAAGAAGGTGATAATTTTTTTTCATTAAAAAGTGTTTATTTTTTTATTTTTTTATTTTTTTTTTTTTGTTTTTTTGTTCAGTCGAATTTCTAATTTGTTTAAAAAATGAATTACTCAGATCAAGAAGAAGCTGCCACACCTATCCAGACCGCATCCTCGTCTTCTTCAGGACAACGGCCTTCTTCAGGACAACGGCCTTCTTCAGGACAACGGCCTCCTAGGAAGGGGTCCCGACAACGTAGACCTCCGAATAACTATACTCCTTCCTAGTTAGTTTGTGTATTTTGTACTTTGAACTTTGCAGACATATTTGTTTTGTATTTAAAACCGTATTTTGACCTTTTAAGTTTTTGAATATTGCATTGTGGTTGATTGTTTTTTATATAATGTATGTTGAATTATTTTTTTGCCGAATTGATATATATGAGTTGGTTGAACAGGTGTATATTGGACAGGTTGATTGATTGAATAGGTTTATATTATTATTAATTTTTCAATGAAAAACGTATTCTACTTATACGTTTTTGTGTCAACATTTACCTAAAAACGTATTCTATAAATACGCTTAATATTTTCAGAAAATTAATATTAATAAGAAAATATTTTTCATAATTCTAAAATAAATTTTAGCATAAAAACGTATTCGCAACATACGTTTTAAGGAAAACGTATTCAGCGTATACGTTTGGAAATTAAATTTTAGC